AGGTTTTATTCAACAGTTTATTCTGAATACATACAACAGTGCATAACACATTATAGAGGTCAGAAAATATTTATTGACTATAAGAATACTGTATAAAAATGTATCTGGTATGTTTCCGGTGTACAGTAAGCAATCAATAAATGATAGCTATAACTTACAATTTAACAGAGTAAAAGTATGCAAGTTATTGATCAAGAGGGTAATCCTCCAAGGCATGCAAAATCTCCTCATTAGCTTCTATGAAACATTCTACCTAATTGCTAAGATATGGCAAAAGCCTGCCTCTTATCTCTAGATCACTACTATACATTCAAAATGGGTTCAGCAATGATTTCGGATGGAAGTCTAAGTTTCTGAGCAAAACCTCCTGTGTAAAATTTGCAGCAGTTTTGTAACATAACTTTTTTAGCAATGAATAGAAATTGACAACTTATTTTCGCTTGTTATTTATCTTAGTACTTCAGGTGGTTATTGATTGTACACAAGAATGTGCTTCAAAATGCCTTCAACTTAGGATAAAACACATTCTTTTCCATTTCCTTTAGTTTCCTCTCTCTCCCACAGCAAAATGCATAAATATGACTGACAACTATTTTGCCAGCATTATAGGCATATTTTTCAACTTTTTGCTTTTCAACTCCCTTTATCCACACATCAAATTATTTTTTTTCCTTTGGTTTGACTATTGTAGCACACTGTTTCCCACTGTACATGAAATGTTATTTAAATTGACAAAATGCAGGTGTGCAAAAATGTAACTTTACTTTCTATACCTCATATTCAACTTAAGATGTCATTTTTTCCTGGTGAAAGAATAAGTACTTTTATCGAGTACATTGGTAAAGGGTGTTGAATATTGAGTACTTACTATGTGTCAGACATTGTTCTCAGAGAATTAACTCACTAATTCTAATAGTCCAGAGAGGTACCCACATTATAGATGAAGAAACTGAGGTACAGAGAGGTTAAATGTCTTCACTAGGGTCACACAGCTGATACTCATGCATAAGCAGTGTGACTTCAGAGTTGATTCTTTTAACCACTCCGCTAGAGCTCTCTCTTTTAAAGGTTGCTAAAAAACTTTAACCTATTGAATTTCAGACTGATTTAACTACTTCTGTTTTTTGTCAGGTCATTTCCTGTTTAAATTCAGTTCACAATTCTCCCCCTCAATATCATGATTTCATTGGGACAATAGTGGAGAAGGCAACCTCTCCATCATCACCTTTTCAGATCAGAGTGTGCTACTGGTGTCCGAATTCCTCTTAACCTTTGCCCATTTACCCTTCCGAAGTATTCCTCACTCAGAGGACATCATCCTTGTGCGCTCTGCCCTGCCACTTTGGCT